GTATCACAAGAGGAACGTTCACCATTTTGGGCATACGCCAATGGAATGGTTTTTTCCCGCTTTATCCTACGGGATAAGCTTGGTCAGCTTTGAAAAATGAGTATTTTTTAATTGGAGTCGCATCGTAGGGGGCATTGTGGACGGCTTTAATATCGGATAAAGGATCGAGTTTTATGGTTGGATTAGCGGGGCGACGAGGTGGGGTTTTTTGTCGGCCATGTTGGCTTTGAGCCGGCGCAGGGCGACACTTAGGGAACAATGCACTTAGATCACATCTTTTATTCATCCGGGGCGGCTCTCGAAGAGAAGTAATTAAATCGTTTTAACTCCCGGTTCGGCCATAAAAGCCGAGTATTGTCTGAAAGTTCGGCCCTTAATTATTAACGTCTGGGAGGCCCTCGCGAATAATTTGTGTGTTTGTCGGCGGGGGGCCCGGGAGAAACGGGATTATTCTATTACACCGTATCAACAGAGGCTGTTTGGTTAGAAAACACAAGGGTATTGTTCCTGACCGAGGATCAAAAATTCAACCGGTCGCAGTGAACCTCTGCCCCGGACTTGGCAGATTTGCAATTAGTCCCTGTCATAAAGGATCGACTAGGACGACGATCAGATACGAAACCTAGCTGGTCGACTTAAAGGAAACACATTCATCCAATATTTAGCAACTTGCTTTATAATATATAAAAAACTGTCTGAGAATATTTTTTTTTTTTTTTTTTGACTTCATTTATTTATATCTACAACTGTACATGCATGATATACAACCAGCAGATTGGATTTCAGACTGTGTGTTTGGCATTATGGGCGTTATAGAGAAAGCTACCCATTGGCAGCCGCTCTGGATTAATGAAATTATATTAATCATTTAAGAGGTCTCTTATCCATATTCTTTTCAGACGTTTACGTGGTAATTGTGGGGAATGGAGTAATTGTATTTGTGTGTTGGTGTGATTTTGTAATTTACTATGAAAACGTCTGTAATATGTTTTGATGGATGAAAAAACTGTTGGGATTTGAAGATCTCTGTGAAGTGTATTATTGTTTACATAAAATGGGGCAGAAACAATTAGTCTTAAAATTTTGGATTGAAAACTTTGTAATCTTTGAATATTGGAATACTTGGCCGATCCATATACTTGGCACCCATACATCCAAATTGGTTTGAGTAGGTATGTGTATGTCGAAAGTTTTGATTTTAATGGTAATTTTGATTGTCTGTTGAGTAGGTAATAAAGAATTTTAAATCTGAGAATATTAAATAATTTATAATTTACAAATCAATACATTCATATGAACCCTCCATACCACAAGTGTCATATTTCATTAACAATATTATCTACGAGTTAGACGAATTCGTTAACCCTTTATGGCCGAAAGATGTCTTAGGGCTAGACGAACTTTAGAACTTTTATTAAAAGGTTAGCTGGAAATCCTATGAGTTTAGCGATAGAGTTTATATTGGCGCCAAATAAATCAGTGTTGCCAATGTACGCGTTTTCCTCCTAACCTTAAGCAAAATTGCTAATAGTATATTCTATGTGATCGACCAGCTTTTACATAATAGAGATCTAGATTGTGTCTTCCTTAGGGTAGGTACGTAGTCATCACCCATGTGATATATATATATGCATCTGTTATATGTATTTTTAGTATTTTATTATTAAAGTTAATATATATAGTTAAAATAGTAAAGAAGATAAAGGTTTTGTAATTTAACACGAGTAAATGTTTTTAAATTTTGATTATGTAGCTACCCTGAAGGAGAAGCACGGCGTTGGTACAAAAGCACTATTTGTTTATATGACAACAGCCCTAATTCACGAGACTATTATAAAATTGTTTATGTTGGCATTGCTTTGAAACAACATTGAGCAAGAAAAAAAATTATAAACTGGATATGAAAATTTTTATGTTTGGCAAATATTAAAATTTATACAAGATGACGTATTGGGGTGAAAAGCTATGTTGGATATAGAAGATTAGCGCATTAGCTAATTTTCTAAATTTGGTATTGCCCTGTTTCAAAGTTGGGAAAGAAAGGGTTAAGATAAAACATAAGAATTTTAAAAAAACATTCACACAGAGTACTCGATTTTCTCTGGGTGAGATGGGTCTCTTCATTCTCGCTAATAAATTACATTCACAGACTTCGTTCACACTGTCCAACAGTAGTCGACATTCCCTTTCATTTTCTATAATTTTCAAGAAGATTTTGATCATTTATTGTGTTTATGTTTTATGGGACGGAAAACTACATTGATCATCGCCAGTTCTCTCTTTTTTTCGATTTGAGGCTTTTTCCATTTTAATCTTTCTAATTTCATTTCTTGTCTCTCTAGTCAAGTAAAACTATAACGATGATGACGGCGACCTACTCACTCTTTTTTTAAATTCTATTTCTTTTTCAATTCTATTTCTAACCTTTCTCTACATCAGGTGCAGTGCCTGGGGAGCATGAACCCCGCTTCCTAGTATCCTCATAGTATCCTCACCAACACCCCAGGGTCAATATGGATAAAATGAGACAAAAACAAACACAAATACACATAAAAACAGAAAGAAGATAAAATATGATAGTCTGGTTCATACAGAGTACTAGATACTCCTCAGGTTTATTAGGTGAAGGGTCTCGCCATTCGCGCTAATAAATTACATTCACATACCAGACTTCGTTACACTATCTCAAAATTCTCGATATTCCTCTTCGTCTTCTAGTTTTACTATTTGTGGAAAATACCTGTACTTTCTATAGGCCGTTTTTTCTACAGTACCGATTATTTAAAACTTAAAGGTATATTTTAAGACCTGATGCCTGGGGGCGTAGGTGGCCGCAACGGTTCATTACTGTAAGGCAACGTCCCGGGTTCGAATCCAGCGGCCCGGCATTCGAACCCGAGTTACTTACAAATGACTTTTTTTTTCAAAAACACCGGCACCTTGAGGGGCTGATATGACCTCTGCTGTTGCGAACCCTCGAAATAAAAACGCCTAATGCCATGAAGACTCTTAGATCTTGCACAATCCGTGCTAATTTATAGAATTATGTGTGTCTTGGAGGGATGGTGGTAGTGTATCGAGCCGACTTACATCGTGTTCATAGTAATACTTTATAGTATATTGTTAGTTTGGCAACTACTTCATACATTCTTGATATATATTTTTCTACTTCTTGGCAATGTGCTTGACTTATAGAATCTTGACTACGCCCATTACCAGATTCATTTTGTTTTATAGCAATTAATTGTATACATTTTAATGTATAGAGAGCTATGCTGGAGGGTTATCGGTATGGTTAATACTGATTCGTACTGTTTTGGTAGTTGATTCTTGTAACGGAATGTGACAAAGGACAGTATCCATCAAAAAATTAGTTGGGTTTTAACATAATGAACCTGACCAGTTTCGTTTTGCCGTTGATCACTTCATGGGATCAGGGATAAAACCAACCCCTCGTCGTAATCCCCCTCTAACATTAGACATTAGCTATTCATTAGGGCGATAAGGCTTTTGTCGACTGACAATCCACTTACCTTCGGCAGTATACCGGCTACACGCCTCTGTAATTAATTTGCCTATCGCGTCAGCTCTTTGTGAGCTTAGAATTTACAAATCGCCCTTTGATTAAATGGGCGTGATTTGACACCAGATGGGTTGTTTTTCTCGGGCCTGTTTACCTGGTCGGGGTTTCAAACTACTGACTATCAAGTCTCAGTGAACTGATTTTGACTAAAATGTGGTCCGCATGTTACCGCTGTGTTTTGATCTGTGAGGTCAAAGACAATTTAAAAGGAAGCATTTACAAATCAAAATAAAACAGAAAAAGAAAGATAATCGGATCAATTTTTGCATAACCAAAGTTATTCTGACGGACCATCAGATCTGGCCAGGCTGAACTATTTCCCACTTGGTATTAGTCAGCCATGAATATTTTTGGCAAGAAATTAATTTCTCTTGAGAATACTACAATCAATAAAAACTAATAAACAGACAAAACACCCACAAAACTGATACATACCACTACATGGACTACTTTCACATACCTAGGTAATATTATATAGGTACAAATTAATATATTTTAAAAAAGTCGGCTTAAAAATGTTATTTATTTATTTATTTATTTTTTTTAAGAGATAATTCTTCAGGAGGCTCAATGCAAAATTTCAAAAGAATTAAGATTAATTCCATTATATTTAGTGGTCTGATTGACCAAATTATTTCTTTCAATTAATTAATCTTTTTATGTAAGGCCTTGGTTGAAATGAAAAAGTTAGCGTCACGAAGCCGAAGGTCGTGGGTTTGAATCTCGCTCGTGGCACTAACTTTTTCTTTTCAGCCAAGACCTTACATAAAAAATTATTCAGAAATCGTGAGATGCGGCCTGGTGTGATGTAATTTCTGAATAATTATCAACTAACGGTCACTAATCACCACACATTTCTTACATAAAAAGCTAATTAATTTAATTAAGATTAATGTTGAATTATAGAGAGGTTGTCTCAGATCGTTCTGTTTTTCTTCTCGCCGGTTTTTCCAGGCAGTTTTTCAAAGGATTTCAATATGCAACGGTTCGCCAGTGTGTTTTTCTATTTATGTCCTTTTCACCTGTATGTAAAAAAAGCTATGTTTTTTTTAAATTAGCTTTACTATGTCGTCAATTTTGATCAACAACACTTTTTTTATTCACGGATTGTCGATCGATGGTATCATAAGTCATGACATTTAAATCTGGATTGCAGAATTTTAATAAATTGTGAGATTTCACGTTGAGTCCTGAGTGGTGAACTTGTAGCTTAGTCGTTTCCGATCCTCCTGGGCTATAACATCTCCCGCTCTTCTTCTGTGGGAAGTCAGAGTTCCTACCTCTCCCTGCTTATTTCCTTGATGCCATGCACATAAGATAAAGCATAAAGCGTGACTTTTTCAATCCAACCTTTTACCCTATTCAAGATAACTTCGGTTTTGGTCAATTGTTTTATATGATTTTTCGGTTCTTCCAGGTTTGGTTCAAAAACAGAAGAGCGAAGTGGCGGAAACAGAAGAGGGAGGAGCAAGAACGGCTGAGGAAGCTGCAGGAGGACGCGGTCGGCCTCGCGAGGAGCCTGCCCGTCGACGTCTCCCAGAGGCTCCACCAGTCCGATTCCGACGAAGATCTCGAAGTAGCCTAAGATCCCAAAATTAAATATGTATGAAAATTATTACGAATTATATTGTAAATAATAAGTATTTATTGGGGAAGAGAATCCACTGGATGAGAAAGAGGAATAAAGCGAGAGAGGAGAATCTCTAAATATTAAATTCCGGTTTTAGTCGATTTTGTATAGTACATTATTATTCAATTTCTGGTCAATGAAATTTTTGCCCGTGGACGGTTTTGTTCAATGGTCAATACAATTTTCTCAACTCCTAAGTAGAAATTTGTGCAATATTATTGTTATAGTCTTTTTAGTGAGTACGATTTAATTAAACATCTATGTAATTATTCAACCTGTATATATTTTTTGATTTATAGAAGTAAATAATCTTTTTATTACTGTTTATTACCCTCTAACATTCTTCGTAAAAATGTTGCGTAATAAAAAAAATTGTAAATAAAGATTTAAGGAGGTTAACGGTATTTCTCATTTTCAGCTAACCATTTTCTCCTAACTACTAGTTACTACTACTATTTACTAGTATTATTTATAGTAGATGATGGGGTTTGGTCTGCGAGTTGGCGAACTCATGTTGAACCGGCACACGGGCACTACTGGGTCTGTCATCTACTGCGGGCTTTTTGTTTGAATTATTCATTTACGTAAAAAAAGCTAACCGATAAACTAAAAAGGGCTGTTTTTATCTATATTGTTTAAATATGCATTGATTGATTGATATTTTGCATGAAATGTACATCGATATCTTGTATTTTTGCCAAATATGAGTTTTTTACAAACTTTTAGAAAGAATTTTGGATAAAGAATGTTTTGTTTTTGAAACCCATAGGTCGGGCATATCCAAAATATTCGGAAAGTGCACTAAAAAAAAAGAAAAAAGTTGTAAATAAATATTTAAAAGCGTTAATGGCATTTCTCATTTTCAACTAACATTTTCCTCCTAACTATTAGTTACTACTACTATTTATTTCAATTAATTGGTCAAGCGGACCACGAAACTAGAGAATTTAACTATTTACTATTTTTTATTTTTTAAAACCGATGGATATTTTGCATTTTTGTAATAGTGGTCTTATAAACTGAAAATAAAATTAACACCAACTTACCTTTATTTATGCTAGTTGTCTTCAAATGTGATTCTGCTTGGATTCCTCTCAACAATTAAATGACGAGACGCATGTTGGGATGGGGGGGATAAAATTGTTTATTAAAATCGGTATGAAAGGATTCGGCTCCATTTGTTGTACGCAGTGACGAGTCAGGTGGGCCACAGCCCACATCGAAGGTGGAAGAGTGCATTCATCTTCAACATAGTTATGAATGTAGTAGGAAAAATCCATTGCCTCCAATGGTGCGTGCTACATAAAATGGTAAATAATTTGTACACTTCATCAGGTTGAAGCTCAAAAATTTTTTTAACCATACCCCGATCTCATCTTTTTTCAGATAATGTTTGCGTGTGTGTTTGTTTCTTTGAATTCGACGAAACCTCGCTTGATGAAGATGAAATATACACCCACAGATGGTAGCATGTGAAACATTCAACTAGTGCACTGTGGGCTGCCTTCTCGAAATCTACGTGAAAACTGAACAGTGAAAATTGGTTTTCACCAGAGACAAAATTAAATTATTTACGTCCATCCAGAACTTTATGTATGTTTCCTTTTCTTTCGTCAGCAAAAAAGCGTAAATCGCAAGGACATGAAACCCCCTAATAGCCACATGTAATGTATACATTTGTTGGAAATGTTGAGGAGCATAATGGCATGCTATGACGTGCTCACAAGCAGCCAGTAATGCGAGATTGGAACGATTCGTGAAAATAGGTATGCCGTCATGCATAATGTAACATTTTGGTTCTTCCTCGGATTCTGACAAATCTCGCAGTTGGATAAAGGATGATTTTCAAACCCATAGGTCGGCCATATCCAAAATAGTCGGAGAATGCACTCAAAAAATAAAGATTTAAAGAAGCTAATGGCATTTCTAATTTTCTACTAACCTTTTTCTCCTAACTACTACTATTTACTATTACTATTTTTTAAAATCGATGGATATTTGCTTTTATTGACAAACATGAGGAGTTGGATATAAACTTTAAAAAAGAATGTGTGGTGATTAGTAACCGTTAATCGATAATTATTCAGAAATCGTGAGATGCGGTCTGGTGTGATGTAGGTTTCAGAAAAACATTTCCTTTATCGTGCCAACGTTTCGATCTTTATTGAGATCATCTTCAGGGCCTAGGATTTACAAACATTGTTTACATTTAACAATACATATAGGATGTGGAAAAGTGAATTTATACAATGCAAAATATTTTTTTATATTCAATCAAAGTATTTCTACTCACTCAAAGTGTTTGTCTTCTGTGTAATTGTGCCATTCTTGCGTGTTGTTCAATGTCAGGTACGGTAAACTCATAATTAAATAAACCTCACCAAAACGCGCAGTCACATTGCTACAGAGTGGATAGGATACACAGGGGTGGATAGGACTATATACTAGTCACTGGCATCTGAGAATACACGCAACATGGCACAACATAGCCAATGATGACCCCATTTGCAGGTTATGCAATAAGGAGGAAGAAACTGCCACCCATATCATCTTCGAATGCGAAGCTCAATGGAGACTTAAACTAGGCTATCAAGAAGACGCTTGAAAAATAATTGCAGAGATGACGACAGTCAATAACCTAGTACTTCTTAAGAGAAGGGTCAAGTCAATTGAACTAAACCAAGAAAGAAGGAAAGGTAATAAGCGAGAAGGCGCTTGGAGAGTACAAAACACCCGCTTCCTAGTGTCCTATCATCATCATCATCATATAGATTTAGAAATCATCAGAAAAGACTATGTGGCTGCAGAAACTTTCTTGCTTGATCTTAAGGGTAGAAACCGAAAAGAAGGGGTTCAGGACCTGGCGAACATTAGGTTTCATTTTGTTTTCCCATGACCGCCTGCTTTTGCCCAGTCAGGTATGACAAACCAATTTAGTAGCGAACGCCATTAAGCTTAAGGCCTTTTACCGAAGCACAGAGTTTTAAGTTCTTCTAAGTACCTAAGTAAATAAAAAGGGAACATTATATTTAGATGTACGAAGTAAATAAAATAGGATATCTGAAATATATAAAATTAAAAATGTAATAATGAAAAAATGTTTTTAAATTTTAGTGAAACTAGGTAAATATTAATAATTTTAAAATAAGTATTTATGTATGTACGTAAAATATTTTTTAGCAGTACTTTTTACTAATGTAAGATCATCAGTGACCGAACGACTGATAGTTGGGCTCAGTTTGGTTTTAATAAGTATAAAACTCCTCATAAAATGTAATATTGTAAATAACTTTTTCGTTGTTTGTGTGTGGTGTTTAGTGACCGATAGTCAATGATTATTCAGATATCGTGAGATGAAGTCCGGTGTGACGTAGGTTTTAGAAAAACTTTTTCTTTATCGAGCCAACGTTTCGATCTTTATTGAGATCGTCTTCAGGGCCTGGGATTTATAAACATTGTTTGAATTTTACAAATAAAAGCAGATTGAAAAAAAAATGAATTTATACAATGGTAGAAATTTTAGATTAAAAAATATTTTTCGTTGTTTATATATTTAATAAAATGTATGAAATTATAATCAATAATAATAATACAATTGAATATTTGTCTGCTAGTGTTTGAATGAGAGTTGTGCGTACAAGATTTCTTTATTTTTTCAGGAATTTTTGAAACTTCCGTTAGTGGAAAAATGAAATAGAAGAAAATTAAAATTGCGGGGTAATAAACTACAATGCCCAACATTGCAATTTAAATAAGAAAAATAGCTCCCTCCAAAAAAACGAGGATAAAAAAAAGAAGTGTTGTTGTATTTTTGTTTCTTATTATTAGTTATTCATCATATTTGAATGGAAGAATAACAGGGTAATGATAAGACTATACTTATGCTGTGACTGTTGCTAGTCTGACTCCATTATTATTATTATTGGCCATATAAACCTATGGGAAATGTTTAAATTATCTAACAAAAATTCGAAATTCTAATTAAAGAACAGGAATAAATTTTATAATTTAAAATGGGATTTGGCCTTCCAAATTAAGGGTTTCAAAAGGATAAATTAAAGCTTTGGATGGCAATAGGATAGATTAGTTTATGAGTGAATGTTTGTAGTCAGAGAAATCTGTATCAGAAGGGATAGCTAACCTAAGATAGAAGGTTTATATGTTAAGGCATGAAATGACCTTAGCTGTTAAAACGTCCTTAAAAATTAATAATAATAATAATAATAATAAGAGGAATGGGGGAATGTTTCAGCATGAAATGGCCTGTTGACGTGGAAAGGGAAAACCTTTATTTTGAAAAGAACTCTCTAAATAAAGCGTCCAAAAATGAAAATAATAGACAATTTAACCCTTATGTAGAGAAAGGTTACTCGATGTGTCCCACATACTGGAAACATGTCATGCCTTGGCTCCCTACAGAGAGCGTGTAGGCAAGCCAATCTGACAATGGTACTCGAGCACTGCAGCGGGTTTCTGGGTCCCCTATTCCGCTTTTTAGGGGAAATTGGGTTTTTTTATTGTATATAATATGTCTTAGGTGTTGCGTGTATATATGTTTAGTCTGAGTATTTGTATTTATTAGCGAGAATGGCGAGGGGTGAGGGTGAAATATAACGTCATCATCGCCCCTCGAACGTTGAGAGCGTATGAGGGTGTGTTCGGGATCGATGTCGAAATATTTATAAAAGTACTCCCTCGACCTCAATCTAGATTAGTTTAAGTATAGGTCGGTGGAGGAATATCAAGTACTCCGCCGACCAAAGGGAATGAGGGTACTGTATGGATGTATTTATATGTATGAATGTAGTGTTTGAAAGTGTAAATAGAATATAGACTTAGTGGGAGGTTGAAATGACCTAGATGTCGGAAGCCCCAGTCAAAAAAAAAAAAAAAAAATAATAATAATAATAATAATCAGGGGAATGGGGGAATGGGTGCTTGTTTCAGCATGAAAACGGCCTGTTGACGTGAGAGGGAAAACCCTTTATTTTGAAAAGAACTCTCTAAATAAAGCGCCCAAAAATGAAAATAATTGACAATTTAGGTATTTTTGTTTGTACGTTTTCAGGTCTAGGGAATATTTTTTAATTTTTATTTATTTATTTTTTTTTTGTTCGAAGAGTCAGACTACATCCTAGGTTTTGTTGTCAACAAATCTCTGAGATAATAATAAAATAAAGACAAATGCATAACAAACAAGATCTGGAGCCACTGGTGATACTGTGAAATCGCTTATTACATAAAATACTTAGATGGACTTTACT